GCGCCCGGGAGCGCGTGCGCGCGGGGGGTCCGCCGGCCCACGGCGCGGGGAGGCAGCCGGGACTATCTCCCAGCGCGGAGGCGCACTCGGGCGGGCGCTGCACCCGTGACGCAAGAGGGAAAGGACCGTGACATGGAAAGATAAGGCAGAGCGGAGGTGGCCAATGGGAGTGCGCGGGAACCTGATTGGCGGTGCCGCCGGCCATTCGTGGCTTGCCCCGCCCTCTTCCTCGCCCCTCCTCCGCGCGGCCCAGTGAAGAAAGAGGCGGGACTCTCCGAGCGAGAGGCCGCGAGAAGCGGTGGGGGTGGGTTTTGGAGTTTTATTCTCAGGTTGGCGTGGCCGCCCGCGCAGCCTGTCTGGCAGGGTCGTGTCTGAGTTCCCAGGGCTGGCTCCCAGGGCTGGGTGTTGCGAGCGGGCATCCCAAGCCCCTGAGGAAGGAATCAGACCCATTTCACGGGCGGGGCGACCGAGGGCAGCTCTGTTTCATGGTCAGTGGACCAACGCTGTGCCTCTGACGTGCTGGTGGCCTTTGTCTGCGTGAATCTCAGTTTGCTCATCTGTAAAATGGAATTTGGACCTGAGTTTGCACAGGACTGATGCTGGACCAGGGCGTCTGATTCTCAGTGGTCTGTGTGTCCACTTAGTTCCAAAGTTCCCCCACAGCCAGGGGCTCATCAGCTTCTGAGGACCACAGACCCTACAGAATTGGAGTAATAATATTACAGATGAAAACAACACAGGCTTTCCTGGCTCCCTGTGTCCCCAGAGAGAACCTACCCTCCCTTCCAGGTGTGGGAGGAGGCCACCATCCCCTGGCCCACTGGGCTCTGGCCACAATGGCCTCCTCGCTGCTCCAGAACCTGCCAGGCTCATTCCCACCTCCAGGCGTTCATCCTTGCTGTGCCCTCTGCCTGGAATACTCTTCCGCCCCCATCTGGAGTCCCCGAATCATGCAGCTCAGTGCTGCTCCCAGCCCACGGAGCTGGGCTGAAAGGAAGAAACGTGGGGGTCCTGGGGGGTGGGGGGAGTGGAGAAGACCCCAAGGAGAGGCAGGGGGCCCCTAACAAAGCCACAGGCCCCTCACCCTGACCCCTGCTGGCCCAGAGAACCCCTCACATGCCACAGGCCGGGGGAGGGAGGTATGCGTCTTGGGGTCTGGGTTCAAATCTCTCATCCTTCCCGCCTCACTGTGGCCTTGGGCAAACTCTTACCGTGCTCTGGGCCTCTGTTTCCCCGTCAGGAAAATGGAGGGTGCGGTGATGGGCACAGAGTAGGCGTCCATGGCCTGTGCCTGCACCCCTTGGACTCTCCCTACTGACAGACCAGGGTCTCTGCAGTGAAGGTCCCCTCGGCCCCCAACCCTTCCCTGTGGCCCATCCCTGACCCCACAGGTCTGTGGCCTGCTCTGGCTTCCGTCCAGCCTGAGGGATTTCTCGAGGACCAGGTGGGGCTGAGGCCTCTCAGGGTCCCTAGTCTCATTCAGGGTGGGCCAGCCCCCGCTGCCCGACAATGCTCAGGATCTAAACCACAGAGTTGGGGCCAGTGTTCCAGGGGGACCCACACCCACCCCCAGAAGTGGGGAAGAGATCCATTCATGGTCCGTGCAATTATCGAGCACTGACTGTATGCTAGGCTTCGTGCTGGGCATTGGGGCACAGTGGTGACTGTGACCTGTCCAGTCCCTACCCTCCAAGGCAGGATGGGCCATCAGAGGCCCTCCCTTTAGTCCCAAATATGGCTCTTTCCATCCATATGTCTGGCTGTCAGGTCCTCGTCCCCGAGTGATTAAACCCACTCTACAGATGAGGTGACTGAAGCTCAGAGCTCGTCCCTGGGGCCTAGTCCACCCTGGGGCTCACACCTGCCAGGAGGCCCTCCCGGCACCCACAAGCCACCATTGTCCTCCCTGGGGAGGCCCAGCATGGGGCTGAGTCACGGGGCGGAGCAGCCCTTGGGGGCACCACTCGGCCGCCACCTCTGCCCAGCCCTGGGGCCCTGGCACGGGACAGGCAGCCAGCGGCTGGTGCCAGGGGCCCCTCAAGGGCGGCCCACAGCCCGCCCGCCCCAGCCCGCCTGACTGCGGCCTTTGTTCTCCTCTGGGTGCCCAGGAGGCTGGCCTCCCCCACCCGCCACGTCCTCCTCCCACCCCAGCCACACCTACTGTGCGTGGCCCAGGCTGGGGACCCCGCCGTGAAGGAGATAACCCCATTTCTGGTTGGAAAAACAAATGCCAGGGGCAGATTCCCACCAGTGAGTTGGGGGGCAGGGGACAGAACTTGGGGACGGGGGTTGAAAGTTTCCGGAAGACAGACACAATAGGTGTGCAGGTCAAGGTTGTCCACAGAGAATGTAATTGGACTTAGGACTCGGGGGACACCCTCCCGCCATCCGTTTTCATTCGTCTCCAAAGTGGGTACCTTCTGGGGTGTGGACGGGCGCTCCTCCCCGACTCTCCCGCCCCACCGAGCTCCACCTGTTTACAGAAGTCCCACAGGAGGGAGGAGCGCTTATCACTCGAGCCAGACCCCGGGCACAAACCCCATTTCATCGTCCCAGCAAGAGGTCACGCAGGGGGATGGCCGCCTCTGGAGCTGGGGGCTTCTCGGTCCATTCAGAC